CAACTTCCAGGTGTTACTTCTACTTTACATTCACCAGACCCGGGGATCAGGATGGGGAGCACTGGCTCCTCCACTAGGATCTCCCCCAGTGCTTCCTCCTGTACGCCAGACCCGGGGATCAGGATGGGGAGCACGGGCTCCTCCACTAGGTTCTCCCCCAGTGCTTCCTCCTGTACGCCAGACCCGGGGATCAGGATGGGGAGCACGGGCCTGGGGATCAGGAAGGGGAGCACGGGCTCCTCCACTAGGATCTCCCCCAATGCTTCCTCCTGTATACCAGACCCGGGGATCAGGATGGGGAGCACGGGCCCCTCCACTAGGATCTCCCCCAATGCTTCCTCCTGTATACCAGACCCGGGGATCAGGATGGGGAGCACGGGCCCCTCCACTAGGATCTCCCCCCCAATGCTTCCTCCTGTATACCAGACCCGGGGATCAGGATGGGGAGCACGGGCCCCTCCACTAGGATCTCCCCCAATGCTTCCTCCTGTACACCGGACGCGGGGATCAGGATGGGGAGCACGGGCCCCTCCACTAGGATCTCCCCCAATGCTTCCTCCTGTACACCAGATGCGGGGATCAGGATGGGGAGCACGGGCCCCTCCACTAGGATCTCCCCCAATGCTTCCTCCTGTACACCAGACCCGGGGATCAGGATGGGGATCACGGGCCCCTCCACTAGGTTCTCCCCCAATGCTTCCTCCTGAACACCAGACCCGGGGATCACGGGCTCCTCCACTAGGATCTCCCCCAATGCTTCCACCTGTACACCAGACCCGGGATCAGGATGGGGATCACGGGCTCCTCCACTAGGATCTCCCCCAATGCTGCCTCCTGTACACTAGACCCGGGGATAGGGATCACAGGCTCTTCCACTAAGATCTCCCCCAATGCTTCCTCCTGTACACCAGGCCTGGGGATCAGGATAGGGATCACAGGCTCATCAACTTCACTAGGAAACCTGCCCCCACCCCAATGCTGCCTCATGATTTGCAGTGTTCCTGATTTTATTTAATTTTTTTGGCCCATGAGTGGTTATCTGTCCCTGGAAATGGACTGGATCTGCTCAGATCAACTTCACAGTGAATTCCCAGTTCTATTACATGTTTTTTTGTTGTCCTGGCCTGATTTACACCCAGACCCAGGGATCCTGATTGTTGGTCCCATGATCTGATTGATATCCCTTGAAATGGACTTTATCTGCTGTGAAGTCCCTGTTCCTAAAGCTGCCTCTTGGCCTTTATGTACACCATACCCAGTGGTCCTGTTTTTTTTTTTTTTTTTTCTGGCCCATGAGCTGATCTCTGCCCGTGGAAGTGGCCCTGATCTTCTCTGGTCAACTTTACAATTAAATTCCCGGTCCCCCAAAGCTGCCTCTTGGTCTATTGTTATCCTGACCTTATGTACACCCATACCAATCCATGGAAGAAGAGCTGATCCGCAATGACCAACTTTACAGGAACTTGGGTTTTGTTTTTTTTTTTTTTGTGTTTTCTGAGATTTGTTTCTGGAAGTGGAGGTGATCTTCTCAGATCAATGTTACAATAAAATCCATGTCCCCAAAGCTGCCTCCTGGCCATATGTACACCATACCCACTGATCTGATTTTTTTTTTTTTTTTGCCTATAATCTGCCATTGGAAGTGGACTTGATCTTCTTTAATGGTACAACAAAATTCCCAGTTCCCCAAGGCTGCTCCCAGGTATGTTCCATGTTATACTGGCCTAATGAATACCCATGCCAAGTGATCCTGATTTTTTGCCCCATGATCCGATACCTGTCCATAGAAGCAGAGCTGGTCTGCTCAGATCAACTTTACAATAAAATCCCCAGATTCCCAATGCTGCCTCCAGGTCTATGCATGTTATCTTGGTCTTATGTACACCCATATCCAATGATCATGGCTTTTTTGGCCCTCCAGGTCTATACATGTTATCCTGGTCTTATGTACACCTATACCTAATGATCATGATTTTTTGGCCCTGTGATGTGTCCCTGGAAATGGACCAAGTCTCCAGGTCTTGTTTGGGATGGTCCCAAGTTGAACAATCAACTACATCAATTTTTCATTGAAATTCCCTTGTCTCCAGGGCTGGATTTACCGTTAGGCACATGCCTATAAGTGGCAGAGGCAAAGCAGTGGTATAGTTATTGGCCAAACATTTTTTTTTTTTTTTTCCCTTCCCATCATCTGTAGGAATAGTTATCTTCTAAAACCTTATTTACATGTTATTGCAGTGTGTTCTAAACCAGGTTGGGACCTGGAAAACCATGAAATGCCACACATGCTTTAGTTATGGGAAGCTGACCCCGCTGGTCCCCCAATGCTGTATTCATTCCCCCCCATTCCTATTTTTGTGACCTCTGTCTAGAGAAGGATTTACCCCACTTTGGAGAGGCTTCCTCTCACTTCCCGTTGTATTTCTGAGACAGGAAGTGAGGGTAAATCTCCCCAATGGGACAAGGCAAAAAGAAAACCGACAAGGGTCCTTCACCTTTCTCCACTCTATCCAAAACTTAAGAAAAAAAAGTTTTGTTTAATGAACATTACACTCTTGTTGAGTAATTTTGATTTTCAGTCCTGGATTTTGCATATCTGACCTGAAAGTGGAGCTGGTCTGTTTCTGATTAACTTTATAATAGAATGCATTCCCAATGTTGCATTCATCTCTTTTGTACATATTCTCATAAGTGGCTGATTTAGAAAATTATTCTATCTTCTAAATAAACCATAAGGGGCTTGTTTTGTAAATCTGTATGGTATCTATGCTGCATTAGCAATAATATGTCCTTGGAAGTGGTTGTTTAGAGGTTTGCAGTTATGTTCTTGAGCAGCAAAGCTGTTTTCCTTTGGTTGGCGTAGTGGCTGTGTGATTTGTTGCATGCATTTCATCTTTTCATGGAAGTTTGAATGCACTTTATTGCGTGACGTTCTCAGTGTTCTCCATGTGGGATGTAATGGATACAAGCGTGGCGTAAGCCCCCCCCCCCCCCCCTCTTGATGTGTAGTCAACTTCTTTCTGAAGTAATGAGCTGTGCTTGTGGCCTAGAGGTTCTGATTAATGCAGAATGAGTTCTTTTCTGCTAGACTCTGCAAGGATGGCTAGCAATGCGGTGGCTTTTAATAATGTTGTGCTTAGGCTAACGCCGCATTGTGCACATTCTTGATTATCAAAGTATGCAGTGTGTTCCAGTGGAAGAGGATACTACACCCCCGCCAAGCTAAATATTTTCTGAAAGGTCGTTCTCACCTACCCCACTATGGGAAATGAGAGGCATCAATTTGCAGGGAGGCTTTCATGTCCTGTGCAATCCAAAGCTTGCTCTGTGTCACAGCAGGGAGGCTATGGATCCAACCCCCAAGTGTCAGCGCTTTGAAATGAAGTTAACCGGACACCAATGGCCTATTTAATTGGGGGTCAGATGTAGGTAAATTATCTCATTGTCTCAGTTTTCCAAAAAGCGTCTTTACTAAGCAGAGTTGTTTTGGAGCTAGGAAAAGTGGAGATGTTGTCCATGGCAACCTGATTCCAGGTTGTGGGTTTTTTTTTTTTTTTTTTGCTTTTATGTGTTGTATGCTAAATTCACTGTGGCGTGCAATTTAAAACAAAATAGCACTACAGCACAACACATCTACCTGCAATGTAGAAGTCTGACTTGGTCTTTTAAAGCAGAAGTGTTTAAAAAGGCAGTATACTGGATCCTATAGTGTTTTATGGAAATCTGTATGTAAGTTTGCCAATTTTAGGAACCCCTCAGATTCCCATAGAGTGTATATTCTCATACCTTGGGGCCACAAAATAGTCGAAGGATGCAAGCTGGCCTCAAGTTGCTAGCAGTAACATCAGTATTGTTTTGCGTTCTCTTCTATATAGGATCTGTATTGCGACCTATCCCAGATCTCATGCTGTCTGCAGGCAAGGGGCAAAGTGGGCCTCAACTGTATAGTATTTCATGAGAATTGGTGAAATATTTCTTGCTTCCCTTATCCGCAAATGTCTGTGAACTTGTACCTATAAAAGTGTTCAAACATCTGGATATATTGGACACATTCACTGGTATGCTGGGGAAGAGAGAGCCTTTGGCCCACCTGTTGTGAATAATTTCTCTTGAAAAACTCTACACAGGGCGACAGGTATGGCGTAAGTCATGTTGAAAAGGAGGAAAATGGATCCCAGATGGCCATTTACTTGTAATAGAAACTTGCAGTTCCGGAGGAGTTATGGGCTGCAGTCTAAAGTGGATTCTTCCCTTAATGCACACTTAATGATTCACGATAAACTTTATGAAGCCAAGAGCAAAAACACATTTTCGCGACTGCGTTTTGTGTATGTTTTTCATCCTGCACGGTTTGGCCACAGTGTACAGGTTGCAGCATTTTTCTAAGGAAATATTTATAAATGAAATGTCATTTATTAGGCATAAATTATTGGCTGTAGCCATAATGGTGGATGATAAGTCGCAGGGATTGTATCCTTTTGCCTGAGGCTCCACAAACTCTGAACTCTCCAAGCACACAAAATGAATGCTGTGGGGCCTATTTACAAAGTTGTTTTTTTTTTTTTTTGTTTTTTTTTCACCAGTCATAAGACTCTCTGTAGCTAATATGGAATACAGTCTAGTTCTTTATATAACAGGCTTTTTATTGGTGGACTGTGCAGTCCAATGGTAGCTTTGCATTTAGACCAAAGGGCTTGTTGATGACTACTACTAACTAATCATGTCATTGGTTAGTAGTAAACTGGGTTTTTCCTATACAAGAGCCCATTTCCTTTCATTCACCATACATCAGAGACCACTGCTGCAATCCACACAGAAGCTTTTATTGTGTTTAAGCCTTTTATTCAAATAGGTGTGTCTCCGTTACTTTCATACAACTAGATAACATTGGGACATGGTTCGCCTTAAATTGGTTAAATGTTTCATTATGCTTTTCATGAGTCATTCTATACTAAGATGTAATTTCTTTTATCAGACAGTTGTCACATTTTCTGGCAGCCATGAGTTCTGCTGGGGTGCTGACCTGCATGCCAGATTCAGGACGAATCTTCAGGGAGACTTCTATACGCCCACCAGTGCCAGGCCAGGAGACTAAGAACTATAAGGTAAGCTTTTATTACTAGACATAATGCTCTTACCCATAGGTTCTTGCCCAATGTACACATCAGTAGTGTAGATTGAACAGTTCAACATTCACAAACCACTTTTGGACCTGCTCTGAGCAACCCATTCATCTATCTAGCCTACTATAAACTGTTTGATACAACGTTGTTGGTAACTAAAGTCATAATCTAAACCTATGTGGCCAGCTTTATAATGCAAGTAGTGTAATTCAATTTCTTATCAATAAATTGGATTTATTTATATGAATATAATACTGTAGGTCTCATGTAAAGATTATCACTAATTGCCCATCGAACCTAACCAGAATGATGAATTGATCATCTGTGCAGTCCAAAATTTTCTTTGTTATAACTGAGGTCTGTCCTGTTAGTTCTTGATGAACCTTGCCATGGAGTACCATGCTAACCATTTTTTTTTTTTTTTTTTGTTCTTTCTTTCAATTACTTAAGACTGAGAAATTCGGTATGGAACCACAATATTTTGAGCAACAAATGAAGCACAAGGAAGAGCCCCTTAGGGAGGCCGAGGGTTGCGTTGCCAATGACACACGGTTCTCTCGGTGGGGCAGATCCCTCAATCTTTTGTTGGATGATCAGGATGGAGCTACACTTTTTCGGATGTATCTGGAAGGGCAGGGCCTGGTGGATCTTCTAAGCTTTTGGTTTGCATGCAATGGCTTTAGAGCCATGGACCCCGCAGAACCCAAGACTTCAAAGACAGCCAAAGCCATATACCGTTGGTATGTACAAAATAGCCAAGCTGTTTCTGGACGTTTAAAGCCAGCCACAAGGGCCCAAGTGAAGGAATGTGTTAAGAACCAACAGCTGAATAGGACTTTGTTTGACCAAGCTCAGCAGGAGATTCAGAGGGCCATGGAGCAAGAGGCCTTTCCTTCCTTTTTGCAGTCTGACATATGCAAGGAATACTCTCATGCTGTGGAGGATAGTCCCACTCCGGATAGCCCTGGGCCTGGTCTCCCTACTCTGGCTGAAGATGAGGAACTTGGCGGGTTCCACACCACTACAATGTTGGCTCGGGAGCAATGGGGAAACTAAATCGTGCCTTCTCACGTTTGCCACCTAGAAACCAAAGGTGAGTACCAGAAAACTGATCAGTTCCTTTAATAGCATTTCCTTTTTTTTTTTTTTTTTTTTTTTAAATAGTTTGTTAGTTTTTGCATTTGATAGGATTTATTTTGTGTTAATGATGGGTTAATTTTTTTTTCTTCTTTACTTCAAGCTATTTTGTTTGTTCTCCAGCACTTTTTCTTCATTTTCTTTGTTCCTCCCCTCCTTGTGTTAAAGGTTAACTTAGCTGTTATTCCTTTCCCTGAGCTCACATATCTTTGATGTGAACAAAATCTCTCCCTGCTCCAGAGATCAAAGAACCATATCCATGAAGCGGGCCGGGCTTTTTTTCTCTCCCTCTATGCTTCCCCCCCCCCCCCCCCCCCCCCCCCCTCCCTCCCAAGATGCCTTACTGTTTCAAAGCCTTCTTATCTTATAATGACTTTTTTTTTTTTTTTTTTTTTAAATAACAGTTATTCTTTTTTTATGGTTTATGTTGGATTAGATAGTAAATCTGTTAGAAGCATCAGTTTGGAAAATATATTTGAGTTAGTTTTGTTTTTTTTTTTTCTTTCTTTTTTGGTTGTCCAAACTTCTTGCTATTAAAAATAAAATAACTGCGAACAGCCAAGTTTCCTTTTTTTGCCTGATGCTCAACAAAGAAAGATTTCATTACACTAATGACAGTAATGTGTCAATACACTAACTGCTCACAGTGATGTGGAACTATGCTAGAGAAATGCCAGGGGGAAAAAGTTCAAATGACAGAAGATGTTACAGATAACCTCTTAAATTAGACTTGTGCAGAAACTGGGTTGCCTTCATTTTTAATGCGCGCATACACACCAGTTGTATGCTGTATGCAGTTAGTGTTTCCTCTCAGCCTACCAGTCTTACCAGGAAGTGGGACACAACTTTTTAAGTAGAACATTGTGAGGGCCATTGAGCCCTCTTTTTGTAATTGGATGTGTATGTTCCCTAGTTTGTAGACCCTACTGGACTCTACTTGTACCACTTTAAAGCAACTCGAGTCATAGAGTTAAGAATATGTTAAAAATGTCACCTGCCAAAGAGGCTTACCTGTCATGCTGCCCATTCTTTTTGATACTTGTACCCTTGCAAAGCAACAGCCTGATTTCAAGTGTCAGATGTCTTCCCCCTTCCCTCAATGCATTCTGTGGCATCTTCTGCTGGCTCTTGCATCCCTATAGGACCCCCCCCCCCCTCCCAGTGCACAGCTTAGGCTACTTACTCTCACAACTTTGTCAGCAGGCCTTTGGAAAGCGTTTTGAAAATTCTGCACATGGCAGCACACAGTGTTAGCACACAGTGAAGCGTTAGCGTCGCGGCAAAACTGACGCATCGTGTCCAGTCAGGAGGAGTTGAAACCTCCCATTCAAGTCTATGGTGCCGCTCCGCAAACGCCTGGCAGGCGGGTGCGGTTGCGGAGCGTTTAATACCATTTTTAACTTCATTATAGGAGTTTGTGGTGTGGTTTTAACGCTTGGCAAACGCCTATCAACTGCCTCAAAACCACGTTTTGGGAGCATTTGAGGAGCGTTAAAAACGCTTCCCAAACACCAGTATAAGGTCTGTCAAACGCTATAGGCGCATTTTGGCAAGAGTTCGAAATAAAGTCAAGTATGAACGAGCCTTTAGGATGCAGGCATCAAACACTCCCGAAAGTGTCAAATGTGCAGATTATTCAAGTGGTAGGCTCTTGTAACCAATGAAGATTGGAGTACAGGCAAGTTAAAATATTCTTCTTTTGACCTTTTTTATGTTTGATATTTTCATTCTTTGAAAATTTAGTGACAGAATTGCTTTAATGGTGCAATTAAACTTGCAATCTCTTTAAAAATGTCTTCATCAGTTATCTAAATCATATTTTTATGCTAACTTTTCTAATATTTAATCAATCTTTTGCAGATCCCATCTGCGGAAGACTGAACCCATCTACCAGTACTTTGCCCCTGCAGCAAGTATCAATGACAGTGAGATTTCAAGCGATGCCCTAACAGAAGACAGTATGTCTATAACAGATGGTAGTGTGTAAGTATTTGATCTTTACATAACATACCAAGGTCAAATGAATATTTCTTTGCCTTGACCTGACTTTCTTTAGCAATGGAAGGAACATTTTTTTTAGGTCCTTCATTTCCAATATTAATCTGTGATCTAATATATATGCGAGTTCTGAAAACAAATAACATAACATGAGGGGAAATGGTAGCATCCCAAAAGGAAATGCAGGAGTTAGAAGCGAAATAATAATTCCACATGCTTTGACACGTTTAGATGTCTTTGGCAGGTGGTCATGCAGGCCTCTGTTCTTTCAACATGTAGACTGCCAGAGGGTACAGGTCAAGAAACACATGGCCTCTTGCTTTTTTATTTTCCTATTGTTGAAGACAATGCATGGAATTTTGTTGCTCACTGCAACGAAACTGCCAAGTGCATTGCTTCCATAAGAAGTGCTGTGTGTTCATTTGGCTGTTTGGCACCTTTACAGCTGTAAGATCCCATCATATTTGTTTCTTGCGACATTTCGATGTGCACACTTGCTGCATCAGTGATGCAAGTTACTAACATTTTTTAGTTTGGTAATGTTCTCAATTAAAATTTTTAAACCTGACCACCAGGCAGACATAGAAGACCCAAATTAATTTGGGGTTTGTAATTATTATATGCATATTAACATGTAAACCATGTATTTGTATCCTCCTAGATTGTAAGCTCGAAAGAGCAGGGCCCTCGATCCCCTCATGTTTTGCATTGTATTGGTATTGTTCTGTCACATGTTCTGTCTCCCTTTGTAATGTACAGCGCTGAGCGAACTATTGGCGCTTTATAAATACTGTATAATAATAATAATAATAATAATAATTTGCCTACATTTTTATTTGATAAAGCCTCTTCCTTTTCCAGGCTAACTTCTGCAGCACAGGAATGCTGCAGAAGTTAGAAGCCAATTGGTTTTGCTGCAGTGCTCATGTTTAATAATGGAACATGTAGATAGGAGGGAGCTGAGGGGCAGAGATAAATTTTATTAATATACTGCTTCCCCATTCTAGTCATAGACTAGAGGAGGGACAAGATCTTGTTAGTTATCCGCAAGGTAGAAAAATCAGGTTGTATGTCCAAGCAGGGCTATGTGTTGGAGCAGTGTAAATCTCAGAATTGGATGGAAATGTCCCAAAAAAATAGAGGCTATTGTGAGCTGTAACACAAGCTTTTAGTCATTGGCAGGAAGAGAGGGAGTTTTTAGTCAGCATATAATGACACCAGGAGGATCCCTTTTGCAGAATGCTAACTGGGCTGTGCAAGAGCATCATCTTGCAAACTGCAGTAGTAAAAAGCGGTGTCTCCTTCTAAACTACGCACTCTCAATTTACCAAATAAAATCAAACATTTTAGCTAGGTTAGTGATATATATATAATTACATTATTATTATTAATTTTTTTTTTTTTTTTTTTTTTAAATTAACAGAGATGGAATTCCACCATACCGCTCCAAAAAGCAAAGGGAAATCCATAGAAGTGTCAGTGCCAATGGACAAGTGCCTCTGCCTTTTGTTCCTGTAAGTATGTTGTAAAGTGTACTGTTTCAATTGGCACATATCCGTTTCTGAGTAATGTATCAATTATAGGTTTGCTTACATATGCCACACTCACTTTGGCTCAGATTCAGACACACCAGAACAAAATCTGGTGTCCTAAAAAAGAACCATTCACAGATGGATGTCTACAGGATGGTGTCTTTACTAGTATTTGTCCCACATTAAGGGTTTAAATCTGTCCACCTGTCTCTACATCATGAGAGAGGATGGGGACTGCCATTGCAAGCCTCCTTCTAAAAATGCTAGATACCTGGCGTTGTCTGATTTTGGTATATTAGAGTCCGAGTCCTGGAACATTCATGGTTTAAATGTGTCAGATCTATATATCTCTGTAGTTTGGGTCACAGAATGTGTCAAGGAATTGGCATTTTTAAAGTAGACTTTGTTATTGGCAGCCTCCGTTTAAGCTCTTGTGAAAGTGTCACTTTTGACCTTTACTTGCTCTGTCCATATTAACACTGCTGGTGGGTCAAGCAGCTTCTATATTCTTTTCTTTTTTTTTTTTTTTTTTATTTCTTTCAACCAGTAGGTTGAACAAAAAAAAAAAACTCCATTCCCCCATCCACACATTTAATGTGGATGGAGAAATCCTCCCTGCTGCACTATAGCCTGAGGCGCTGATCAAGCGGGGAAAATCCAACAGGCTGGTTGTACATAAGTCAATCCATGTACTGCTGGTTCTAGAGGTTACCCGACATCTGATAATTGCTGCTCTGTCAGTTGCCTGACCTCACAGAATGCACACTCTGAAGCTGGGAAACCGTCTGAGGTCAGGCAATTTTGATTTGGGTATGCCTACATAATTTTAATAACTTAAGACTTATTATTCCTATGTTTGCATAAACCCATCCAGAATGAGTCTCGATGCATACTTCAAATGCCAGCGCCTGTACTGGTTATTGGGAGTTCATCATTAGAATAGCAAGGAATAGGGCTTTCAGCCTGCATGAGAAAGGACAGTCTGGGCTTGGATGGGTGGACTGGGCAAGGACTTGTACATGCTGAAGGCTTAATAGGTTGTGGATTATCTTATCAGCACCTCAGACATACTATTGGCTTAGTTTACTTTTTGGACCTTGATGGGTCCACTCCTACGAATGTGCCTTCTACAATTGCCAGTCATTTGGATTTGCTCTGCAGCAGTAAGACGTAGTTTTGGACATCTAAAAAATTATCAAGCTGGGAAAAGAAAATGCCAAGCTTAATATGGCAGAGAGCAGTAATCTATGACCACAAACGGAATGCATTTTCCTGCCATCTGACCTTGACTTACAAATCCTTTTGCTTTGGGTTAATGCACTTCTCTTTGCACTCTCTTCCTGTATAAGCTCATTGTAGGCATATTTAGTAAAGGAATGCAGGGAGGACTTCAGATTTTTAGAATGGAGTATCCTATGGCAACCTGTCAGATTTCAGACCACTGAAAAATGAATTCTGATTGGTTGCTGTGGTTTAACTTCTTTGTACCACCTTGGCCTTCATTTATATAAGTACTACTTCTCTGAACTGTAAGTTTATTATTACCGCATCCAGATTTTTCCCTGAACATTTTTCTCTTTGCTCTTACAGAGAACCTTGCGTCCACCAGCTGAAATGATGCCAACGAACCCTGCGGAATTTGCTGCAAAACTAACGCTAGCTTTGGAAAAAGTTAAAAAACAGAGAGAAGCAGAAGAAAAGCTGGAAGAAAAGCTGCAGAGGTTGAAAGAGGTAAACATCTTAAATTTCCAGGATGGAGGCAGTAGTTATCAGTACCAGCAAAAAAATTTGATCGTAGCATGCACCTGGCATTATGACAGGTGACAAGTTCAGGCATGCAGAATTGTAGAATGCTACTAGAGATGCCTTTGGCAAGGTTCTGCCCTAAAGATACTGCAGTAGTTTTAATTACTTTATACTCTTCAAAAGGCAGGCTAGAGACTGACAGTGCAGCTTGGTTGATCCATGAAAGAAAATTTTGGTCTGGAATGTTGAAAGAAAACATACATTTTATCCTAACAGGAAGAAGAGAAAGCAGAATATGATATCCCTCCATCTAACCACGACAATGTGCCAGCTGCTTCCTTTGAGGATGACCCACAGTCCATACTGGATGACCACGTATCAAGGGTCTTGAAGACGCCAGCAAATCTGTCGCCTAGATCTCAATCCCCCTTCATTCAAAGAAAAGCCAAAGGTCAAGCATCATTTGGCAAAGGTCAAAGCCTAACTTCCTGTCACTTAAGGCCAAAAGCTCCCCCAGGAATGGAGGCGCCTGTCACACAGAATGTAGAGCAGCGCAGTTCTGTGAGGTATGTATGCCATTGCCAGTGAGGAGACCCTGCTGTTTTGCATGTTTTTAGAATATCATCATTTTGAGGCTGTTATGAGCTCCTATGCAGCCCCATACTTGGCATTCTCTCATGCATTGTCCATACCTATAGGTACCACTACATCATGCACAGCTGCTTAGTACTGCTGTATGTAGCTCTTGATAATTTTTAATTTTTTTTTTTTTTTTTTTTTTCTTTTTTGTCCTATGCCAATGCTTACATTATGTGCTTCTTTAGTTCCCAGGGTACAAAAAGTTACAGAAAGCCAGAAGGCTGTGCAACAGCACAGAAGCTGGAGGAAGGCCACTCCTCAGTTGGACTGACCACCCCACTTTCTGCCGAGCAGGAAATAGAGCGCAGCCATAGTGTCTTGCAGTGGGTTCTCGACAGTGCCAAAATGATGAAGAAACATCATCGGGATGTTACAACCAGGTAAGTTTTTAAAGCTAAATGACATATGCTTATTCTGGGGCTTCATGCCATAGTGGTTGAAGCTGATTAACTGCTAAGTATTTGCTAACAGAAATACATTTTTCTACAGTGTAAATCATGGTCCAGAGTTAAAGAGGACAACACACCGCACAACATCCCAACCTGCGCATCTGTTCCTGCAGGATACTTCTATGCCACCTCTTACTGCTCCTAATACCCTTGACCAGCTAGAAGAAGCCCGTAGACGCCTAGTGGAGGAAAAGAGAGTTCCTAAACTTCATAAAAACAGGTAGAGTTAATTGGAATTGTGAAATAGCAGTGTTCATGTTGTCAGCCCTTGGCTTCTGCTGTGATTTTCAGGTTGGTGTGCAGTACAGATTTATTTTTACTTAAAAAGTGGATCATTCTGTTGGGTTTATTTATATTGCACTACAAAAAGCAGTCATATCTAGTAAACTACCAACTCTCACCCCCCATTCCCTGCTGCCTACACTATTGCATTGTGAATATTTTTCAGGCAAAATCCACTCAAAACATTTGGGTGGACATCATTTTGCTGAATCTCCTTCTGGCTCCACACATCCCACTGAGACTTTGTGGTGAGGTTCCCTCCAATAATTTGAGTTTTTTTTTTCTTCCATAAAGCCACAGTAAAGGTGCATCACTCTCTGGAAGTTGGATTTTCCTATACTACTTTGGTCTAAGTTGGCTTTGTAACAGATTTGACAGTGGGATGGAATTGGATATTCTGTGGGTGTTTTGGTTTGTTTTGTGTGGGGATTTTTTTCCCTGCCATGAGTTTCAAAATGATAGCAGAAGACAGTGTGAGGTTCACCTGCCAACAACCTTGCAAAACCTGAAATAAAGGCTTTAGATTGGACTGGCGTTTAAGCTGCTAAAAGTTACTCTGATTAGTGTTCCTGAACTATTGTTTGCACTAGGTCTTTTATTATTATTATTATACAGGATTTATATAGCGCCAACAGTTTGCTCAGCACTTTACAATATAACGGGAGACAATACAGCATCGATACAGTTCAATACAAGAGGGATAGGAGGGCCTGATCCTGGGAGCTTACATTCTTTTATGTAATTCTCTTTAGGTACTTGATGGCAAATACACATTTAAATTAACAAAATTTAGATCGCATCTAAAAAATCAGCTAAAGATGCTGGTTCATACATGCTGGATACCTTGGATTTAAGAGGATATCTTTATGGCACATGAAGCATCCTGTTATACATATAAATCAAATGATTGCAAATCTCACCTGCTGTTTAGGAACAAAAGCTTAATGCTGTCTATTTGTATTTGAAGGTGTGTGTGCAGTCTGCAACGCTGAAAGAAAAAAGCAAAGCTGCTGAGAGTGTCTCTTCTGGCTTCTCCACACTAAAATTCTCTGAAGAGTAAGGACTTTGTCTGTGATCTTGTCACTTCTGCTCTGTAGCAGTTGTCATTGTTTTATAGAAATGTGTGTGTGTTGTGTGTGTGTGTGTGTGTGTGTGTGTGTGTGTGTGTGTGTGTGTGTGTGTGTGTTTTAAATTTGGGTGCTTGCGTTCTTTTCACTGAGCTCCTTGGTTCATAGCTTTGAAATACAGAGGTGGTCAGACTGTCAATCGGAAGGCAGGATAATGTGTATAATGCTAACTTCAAGCATATTCAGACAGGTGTCTTTCTCTGTAGCATTTTAAAGTGATTTGTAAAGAGTTTTTTTCCTGAAATAAAAAACGTGTAATACTTTACCTGCTCTGTGCAGCAGCCCTTAACCTTCTCTTCTGGGGGCCATTGCTCTAGGCTCCTCCTCTTCTGCATGTTCTACCATAGCAAGTTCATTCCTATGGTGGCACACATGCGGGCTTGCTCACAACCCGGGCTGTTTGTGTCCATTGACACACTGTGCGGCTCAGCCCCAATCCCCCCCATAGAATGCATTAAGGTATGACTTTAGAACCACTTTAAATTAACCTGATAAAGACCCTTTTCTCGTTTTAACTTTAATCCCTTTGTTGTGAGCATATTCCCAAACATGCAATCCTTCTCGTCACTTGAGCACATGCAGAGCCAGTAAACTAAGGCGACTATAGACAGACAATAGTCCTGGCTGCCTGGTGTATGGGGCTCCTAGTATATTTATTTATTTTTATTTTTTTTTCACAACGGGTACCCTACTCTTGGAAGTTCAGCACTGGAGGAAATGATCATATTAATTTATTTTCCTGAAAGTTGATGGTACTCCTCACTTAATTTTATATTTTACTCAACTGTTTTATGTTTATAGGTTGAAGTCTGCGAAAAAGATGAGCAGTGATCAAGGGCAAGGAGGTTTAGCGATTGTCTACTACTTCTGTGGAGAGAGAATCCCTTATATGATACGAACAAAGGAGCCAAGCTTGACTTTACAGGAATTTAAGGAACTGCTGAGCAAGAAGGGAAGCTACAAGTAAGTACCAAGGTTTAGTAATGAAGGTACATTTGATACAGCAGTGCAAAGGGCAAAACAAGACCTTCCTCTTTTGCAGGGATCTCCAACGTTCGAAACAAAGGGCCAGTTTACTGTCCTTTAGCCCTGGTTCACACTGATGCGGTGCGGGAAACGCAGCAAATCCTGTGCATTTCCATTGCTTGGTGTCCATGTGATCTGGTGCAGGTGTCAATGTTAAATTAATTACACCCTGAAGCAGATCACAACACAGTGCGATTACCAGAATTTGCATCGCATGGGCGTGAACATTGGAAGTTTAAAAAAAAAAAAAAAAATGCCCTGGCAATACTGGGTGTTAGCACCTTAGGCTTGGTGGTCCAGTAGGATTAAAAAAAAAATTACATGGTGTCTGAGCTCAGTAGAAGGTATAGCACTCCATTTGAGAAATGGTGTGCCCATCCTTGGTGTTATTGGGAGGAAAGAGACCACTTATCTATTGCAACCAATAGAAAATTTATTTTCAGTGGTATGATAAGAAGCTCACTGCTGATTTTGACGTGGACGATGTACACTGACTTTCACGATTTAAAAAGTGCATTATTCATTTTGGTAATTTTTTTTTTTTTTTTTTTTCCCCATGGCGTACTTCAGAGCATTGCTATGTTTCAGTCAGACTAACCCCCTACTTATCATCATTTTCAGATATTACTTCAAAAAGGAGAGCCAGGAGTTTGAATGCAACGCTGTATTCCAAGAGATCTCCGAGGAGGATGCTGTACTACCACTCTACGATGAAAAGATTATCTGCAAGGTGGAGAGAGCATGTTGAACTTACACTTGACACAAGTGAATAGCATCTTAGTGCTGCTTGTAGATGTGAAGTCTTGCTGGGTAATGGACAGTGTAGCAGGCTGAACAAGATAGAAGTGGAGAAGGACAAAATGGATAAAGCAAAGTCTGGTGATTTAGAAGATGGTATCAACTTACAAGTGGAAGTATAAATGGAATGCCTGCCTAGAGAAAAGGATAAAGAAAGTTGTCCAGTTTGGTTGTGCGGGGATGGAGTATGTGAAGCAGATGTTTGTGATCTTGTACGGTGGATAACCATACTGAATTCTGCTTTAACAAAAACTGAACTTTATTTGAAAGTGGAAGCAGGTTTTCCAGGTGCAAAAAGTGAAAATACTCACTTTCTGAATGTTTAAGGCCACTAAGTATATTCAGGTACATTATATGTACATACATCAGTGTATTTATATAGCACATAGCTTTTTTTTTTTTCTTATTATAATTTATGGACTGGAGTGACTTTGCTATATAACATAGAGCTTTGCCTGCTATGTTTGAGAATTACCACTAAGAAATCCAACATTGCAAGTCTATGGATAGTCAAACACCCTTACTATAGGCCCTGAAGAGCTGATTGTCTGTCATTGGTCGGTTGTGTCTTACATGGGAAGAAGTTTGAAAACATGGACCCTTCAGAGGGTAAAGAAGAAGAAATGAGCATGCCTTCAACCTCTGAAGAGTAAAGGATTTCCTGTATATTCAGCTAATGCTGAGTATTCATGATTTATGGATGACAGCTCCTTTAGGATACACTTTTTTTATTTCTGGTCACCAAGCTATGCAAAACAGTTGATCCAAATGCTGCTAATTCAGTTTGCCGGTGGCATTCTTGTCTCCTTTTGTAAAGCAAGAATTCACAGCCAATACTGATCAGAGGGATGTTGCCATCTGACATTTTTACTTTTGTCTATTTTGAAATAACTTTTTTAATAGCTGAATTTACATTGTGGTACTAGTTTTTTAATATAGAGGTAAACTGACCCTCTCTGTTTGCAATTGGAGGGTTTCATCAGTTTCTCTTAGATTTGTTCTGTTTTAGGAACAGATTGGGCTGTTTGTGATACAGTCTTTTTGGATCCAGCATGAAGGTTACATCAGAATGAGTTTATAGGGCTCACTGTGATCCTATTGAGCTAAGTATATGGACAGATATAACTGAAGCCATAGCGACTAATTCTTATACTCTGTTTTAAGGGTTTATTTTTCTCCCTTAATTATCTTAAAGGGTTTGATTGCCTTCTGTACATACTGTAAAAGCACAAAAACTAAAAACATGCCTTTATTTAAGCAATAATAGAAAACTGGGCATTTTAAGCCTCTTTACTTAGAAGCCCTGTTTGTAAAGTCTGTTCCTAACTTTATCATCCAGATCTAAAGAATAGGCTTGTACCAGGCTGACCATCTAAAGTCCTCTGGCTCTATTCAGACAAGAACTTTGTTGCAGTAGAATCCATCCATGTATTAAAGTGGTTGTAAACCTCAGATATGAAATATGAACAAAGCATATCTTTCTATGGTGTGTACTTGTCTCAGTTAAGAGCACTGTGTCATTTCTGACAAGTTTTCTTGACTAAGAGAAAAATGGTGACAGTGGAGGGACCTCCAGATGACTGACAGCCTCAGATCATTCCTGTGAGCTGTGTGGAGGGGGTGCTCTCCTCACTGAGCTCTGCAGAGCGTAACTTCACCTCTCTGCTTCTCTTCCCCCCCCCCCCCCCCCCCCTTTTTTTTTTTTTTTTTTTTTTTGGACAGCTTTTGTAAATTCTGCACTTTCAAGTGATGCAGAGACTATTTCAGATAAACTGGTACAACTTATAGAGGAAGATTTGTTTAATTTTGTGTATCACCTGAGGCCGGTCACTTCACTAGGTATATGTAGGGGTTTACAACCACTCTAAGGTAAAGAGGTCCCTATTTTCTGTTTTATAAATGGTAACATTTTTGGAGGATGGGGCCATTGAGGATGGAGTTGGACAGACTGGTGTAGTAGGTAAAACTATAGGACCTCATCTACACTGGTGTGCAATTATATGTATTTTTAGGACTTTCCTAAATGCCAATAAATGCATCTGATAACTTAAAGCGGAGTTCCACTCATGCTGTCAAAAAAGTCAGCGGCTACACAAACTGTAGCCGCTGACTTTAAAAAAAACAGCCACTCACCTGTGTGTCCCCTGCAGCCCGTTTCCCAGCCGTCCTGTATTCCAGGAGGCTGGCATCTTCAGTGTGGGCACCCGGCTGTCATAGCTTGAGGCTTTACAGCCGGGTACCCACTGTGCATGCGTGAGTAGCGCTGCGCTTCATGAATGGTCCTGTAGTCTTCTGGGACCTGTCGCGTGTCCCAAAAGACTACAGGGAGGGAGGACACCTTCAGTTTCCGATCGCCTAGGCAATCGGACTGGAAGTGGGAGCGGGTACCTGCTCCCAGCCCCCCCCCCCCCCCCCACACACCCCCAAAAGGTGCCAATCCTCAATGGAGAGCGGGGGAGCAATCCTTAAAGCAGAGCTTGCCCTTTTTTGGGTGGAGCTCCGCTTTAAATGGTATAATTCTTACTATTTTTACTTTAGCTGCATTAAAAAAAAAAATAAAATTCTTATGTCCAGGTGCAGATTAGTTACTCTGAATGCACACACATGCAGGTCAATTTTAAATACAGGAGAACTTGATCTAGGAAGTAAAGTGTTATAGTTTCCAGACTAATTTTTCCATGCATCTAAATAAAACAAACACATGAGGCTAGTGTGAATGAGGGCTAAAAGTGAGTTCAGTGTTATGTGAATTCCCCTAATAGTGGTGCCTGATGGACCGTTCACTTAATTTGGAAGGTCTGCAGTTTTTGGGGTGCAGTAACCTATTAATGATTTATACAGTTTTTATGTAATTTAATGGTACAGAACTTGCCATGTAATCGGTGTTTCTTGTCAGATCCCTGGGAAAGTTGAATGTGTTTTTAATAAATGTATAACTAGTTCTATATCTGTCCATAGAAACCTGAGATAATATTCTAAACAAGCAAGTGAAAACTGTTTTTTGATTAGAACAGACTGAAACACTTTATTACAAACTAGACCAGCAGGGATTATCTGTCCTTTCTTGCCTTTTCATTAAACTGCCACTCCAGTACTGAACTGTCTCCCCCCCCCTAGATCTCTGCTGTCAGGTGATGGCTGTAATGTTTGCTGGAAGAAGAGAAGATGACATAGAACTTCTTTCTGCAAACATTCTACTACCCAGCACAAGAACACTATCTGATTTTGCCTGTTATTTCCTGGTGTGCCATCCTTAGATTAGCCATTCAGAATGTTCTCACAGTGCCAAAAGCTGATGTATATTACATGGCAGGGCTAAACTATTATTTTGTATTAGGAATTCCATACAAATCAGAGTAGACCATCAAAGTTTGCCTTCAATATGTTTGCATTTCCATACTAAGCTGGCTTGAAAGTCACCTTTTCAACAGCTTGAAAGTGCCGTTTATTCTGTGTAATTGGGGATCGGCAAAAAAATATTTCTGAAATACATAATTTTTCAGCCTCTCACTATCCACATTGACAACCAACAGATTCTACTGCTACCCGAAGATTTCTCTAGTTGAATTGTTCACAAACTCCAAATGTACTATTTTTTTTTTTTTTTTTTTTTTCTGGAATGCAATTGTAAATGTTTTTTAAATATATAAAATAACTATTTAATTCATATTAATAAAGTATTGTTATCATCTTGGTAACATGGTTGCCAGGATAATCTATACTTGGCAACACCTGTTTTAGAGGTGTTGGGAAATAAAGTCAGCTGTTACAGGGGAATAAACTGAAAAAAAAATTGTATTTAATACCTGTAGCAGCTGATAACAATGTGGTAGCCAATCATTTGCCAGCGGTTTTATACAGTAATTCATATTTTTTATATCTAATTATATACACATGTATAAAATATAAATACATTGTTTTATATATTTCAGAGTGATTAATTAAGGTGTACAAAATTGAAAACATTTTCCTATTCTACAGAATGTAAAAATGAGCTGAAATAAAATTTTATATTTTTTTTGAAACTTTTCCGTGTGTGTTTGCAGGAAGGCTCCAACTTTTAAAACAACAATTTGTGATGTAATGAGTGCTGCAATGACTAAACCTAGTACCCAGTTATGTTCATGGGATTGTACACCCAACTAACACCTAAGAACATACCTAAATAATAAAATGCACACGCTACAAGGATTGTGGAAAGATTTGGGCCGCAGCCCCGAAGGAAATAAGTATTATTTGATCCCCAGCTGATTTTAAATATTTGCTCACTCACAAAGAAATGATCAGTCTAAAAATCGAATGGTAGGTGTATTGTAACTGACAGAATCGCAACAAAAAATTCAAAAAGAAATGCATGTCTAACAAATTATGCACTGATTTGCATGTCATGAGGGAAAAAAATATTTGATCCCCTATCATTCAGCAGGATTTCTGGCTACCAGGTGTCTTTCATACAGGTAACAAGCTGAGTTTAGAAGCAGTCTCTTAAAGGGAGTGCTGCTAATCTCATTTTGTTACCTGTATAAAAGACGCCTGTCCACCAGAGGAATCCGATTCCAAACTCTCCACCATGGCAAAGACCAAAGAGCTGTCCAAGGATGTCAGGGACAAGATTGTAGACCTACACAAGGCTGGACTGGGCTACCAAACTATTGCCAAGCAGTTTCATGAGAAGGTGACAACAGTTAGTGCAATCATTTGCAAATAGAAGAAACCCAAAACTGTCAGTCTCCCTAGGTCTGGTGCACCATGCAAGATCTCACCTCCTGGAGTATCGATCATGAGAACAGTGAGGAATCATCCCAGAACTACACGTGAGGATCTTGTCAATGAGCTCCAGGCAGCTGGGACCACAGTCGCCAAGAAAACAATTGGTAACACACTACGCCAACAAGGATTGAAATCCTGCAGTGCCTGCAAGGTCCCTCTGCTCAAGAAAGCACATGTCCAGACCCATCTTGCCATTGAAAATCTGAATGATGCAGAGGAGGACTGGTTGAAAGTGTGTGGTCAGGTGAGTCCAAAATTGAGCTCTTTGGCATCAAAGTTGCTGTGCTTGGAGGAGGAGGAATGCTGCCTATGACCCCAAGAACACCATCCCAGCTGTTAAACGTGGTGGAAACATTCTGCTTTGGGGGGTGGTTTTCTGCTAAGGGGACAGGCCAACTGCACTGCATCAAAGGGACGATAGACAGGGTAATGTACCATCAAATCATGGGTGAGAACCTTCTTCCCTCAGCCAGGGCATTGAAGATGGGTCGTGAATGGGTGTTCCAGCTTGACAATGACCCAAAACACACGGCCAAGGCAACAAAGGAGTGGCTCAAGAAAAAGCACATTAGGTCCTGGAGTGGCCTAGCCAGTCTCCAGATCTTAATCCGACTGAAAATCTGTGGAGGGAGCTGAAAGTTCAAGTTGCCAAACATCAGCCACCAAACCTTAATGATTTGGAGAGGATCTGCCAAGAGGAGTGGGCCAAAATCCCTCCTGAGATGTGTGCAAACCTGGTGGCCAACTACAGGAAACGTCTGACCTCTGATTGCCGACAAGGGATTTGCCACCAAGTACTAAGTCATGTTTTGTGAAGGGGATCAAATACTTATTTCCCTCATGAACATGCAAATCGGTGCATAATTTGTTAGACATGCATTTCTTCTGACTTTTTTGTTGCTATTCTGTCTCTCAGTGTTACAATACACCTACTATTTGATTTTTAACTGATCACTTCTTTGTGAGTGGGCAAACATTCAAAATCAGCAGGGGGTCAAACACTTATTTCCTTCATTGTAAATGTGTGTGATTTGTATTTCTGGGTAGGGGGCGCGCTGCCCTACCCAGCTACGAATATCAATCAGAGGTTCCCCACAGGCAATTGCCAAGTAACACTGACGGGAGAGACCTGGGTGTAAACACAGGTCTCTCTCCTGCCAGGAAGAACATGCTGCTGTGTATTTCTCTGCACAGCAGCATGTCTCCCTAGTGAAACACACAGCACATTATGCAAAATGGCACACAGTTAACTCTTTGATTGCCCCAGATGTTAACCCCTTCCTGCCCAGTGTCAGTGGTTTTTATTAGCACTGATCACTGTATTGGTGTCATTGGGATGTCAGTGGCAGTTAGTTCCCCCCAGTATCAGAATGACCGCCGCAGTCCCGCTATAAGTCGCTGATTGCCGCCAATGCTAGTATTAAAATAAAAATTCCAGTATACATACCGCCATTTGTAGATGCTATAACTTTCATGTAAACCAATTAATTTTGTATTTATTTTTTTTTTTTAGCAAATACATGTAGCAGAATACATTTTGGGCTAACTTTATGTAGAATTTTTTTTTTTTTCCCCCACTCGGTAGGTTTTATAGCAAAAACTCAAATAGTAGTTTTTTTTTTTTGTTTATAGCGCAAAAAATAACGCAGAGGTGATCAGATACCTCTGAAATAAAGCTTTATTTCTGAGGGGGGGCGGAAAGGACATAAATTTCATTTGGGTGCAGTGTTGCATGACTGCACATTTGTCAGTTAAAGTAACGCAGCGCTATATTGCAAAAAAATGGCCTGGCCAGGAAGGTGGGGGTAAATCCTCTGGAGGGTGAGTGGTTAAATCAATCTTAATTATGAAATAAATTTTAACATTTTAATAGCAAACTGCTGTTAACCATTAACATACCAACATGTTCCGTCACTGAGACTCAAGCAGCAATATCTTATACCAACCAAACAGCGTACCAATCACTGTCCACCCACAAAGTGGGCGACATTACCTCATAAAGATGGACTTTCAATATCAAGCACAACTGTTGTTAACCAATAACAGACCAACATGCTTAGTCACCGAGACTCAGGCAGCAATATTTTATACCAACCAAGTAACAGCGTACCAATTACTGTCCACCCACAAAGTGGGCGACATTACCTCACATAAAGGTGGCCTCCGGTGACGGATAAATTAACAAAGGGAAAGGAGAGCAGGTCAAGATCCAGAAGAAAGGCTGAGGAGAATCCAGAGGAGAGTGCATTTGACAGACCTGAGGTAAATGGTGACTCCACCCAATGACAGGAGAGGATAGAAGTGAAAGGTTACACTCGTTGGCTAGATGTTTCCCGCCTAAAGATTTGTCACCAATCCAGTGCTCAGCAGCTGAGGTAAATTGTCCTAGCAACAGCAGACAGCTTGTTACCTGAAAAACAAAGCAGAAAGAACCAGCAAAGCAGCCATAGGGAGACGTGGAATTATCATCATCATAGCCCTCTATTAAGAGTGAAATGTATATAAAAAACAAATGGGTGACTTCTCTAAAGTTTTCATTATTATTATACAGTATTTATATAGTGCCAACAGTTTGCTCAGCGGTTTACAATATAATGGGAGACAGTACATGAGACAGTACAATAATAATACAATACACGAGGGTTTCGAGGGCCCTGCTCCTTGGAGCTTACAATCTAGGAGAGAGGGTAGAGTGGTACAGGAGGAAATAACTGTGGGGGATGGAGTGGTGGGAAGAGCGGAGGAGAGCAGCAATTAGGTGAGAGCGGGGTAGGCTTCTCTGAAGAGGTGGGTTTTCAGGGTGTGCCTAAAGGTGAGGAGAGTAGGTGACAGTCTGATGGATTGGGGTAGTGAGTTCCAGAGGACGGAGGAAGCCCTGGAGATGGGCATGGGAGGAGAAGACCAGGGAACTGGAGAGCAGGAGGTCTTGTGAGGAGCAGAGAGTGCGTTTTTTGGGTGGTAGATGGATATCAGGTCGGTAATGTAGTTTGGGGCAGTGTTATGAATAGCTTTGTACGTCAATGTTAATATTTGAATTTTATGCGTTGGGCAATCGGAAGCCAGTGGAGGGATTGGCAGAGGGGGTGGCGGATATGGAGAGGTTGGCAAGGTGGATGAGTCTGGCCGCAGAATTCAGGATAGACTGAAGCGGGGATAGCCTGTGTTGGGGTAGGCCAGCGAGGAGGGAGTTGCAGTAGTCAACGTGATATGATAAGGGAGTGAATGAGTTGTTTTGTAGTTTCTGGAGTTAGGAACGTGCATATTTTGGAGATGTTGCGGAGGTGAAGTCTGCATGAATTTGTCAGCGATTGGATCTGGGGCTGGAAAGACAGATTGGAGTCTAGAATTGACACCTAGTACTCTGGCTTGCGGGGTGGGGCTGATGGTGGCGTTGTTGGTCGTGATGGAGAGGTCGGGGGGGGGGGTGGTCTCGGGCTGGGGGGAAAACTAGGAGCTCGGTTTTGGCAAGGAAGTGGAGTGATATCCAGTCTGATATGTCATTCAGCAGGCTAGTGATTCAGGCAGAGACTGAAGGAGTGAGGCAAGGGGTAGAGAGGTAGATTTGAGTGTCATTGGCATAGGGGGTGGTAGTTGAAGCCGTGGGAGTGTATCAGTTGACCAAGGGAGGAGGTGTAGATGGAGAAGTGAAGGGGCCCGAAGACAGAACCTTGGGGGACCCCAACAGAGAGGGGGAGGTGGCAGCGTTATAGGTAACATTGAAGGAGCATTGAGATAGATAGGAAGAGAGCCAGGAGAGAGCGGAGTCTCTGAGGCCAAAAGAGTAGTTTTTTGAGGAGGAGGGGGTGGTCGACCGTGTCGAAACCCGCAGAGAGGAGTAGTAGCACTGAGTAGTGGCCATTGGCTTTGGCGGCTAGCAGGTCGTTGGTGAGTTTGAGTAGGGCGGTTTCGGCGGAGTGTAGGGGACGGAAGCCAGATTGTAGGTGATCAAGGAGGTTGTTGTCGGTGAGGTGGGAGCTTAGGCGATTATAGGCTAAGCGCTCAAGGAGTTTGGATGAAAATGGCAGCAGGGAGATGGGTCTTTCATGGCCCTGACATTCTTTTTGGCTTTGCTGCTTACATGAACATGGACCCTCCACGGCATCCAGTGTCAGAGATCCCAACTTGAAAATAGTACTGTGTACCAGAATGCTTCCTGACATGTCAATCCTGACCATGTCTTATTTAGTCCCTTTTGGTCTGTTAACTGCTTCCCGTCCACCCTATAGCAGTAATACTGCTGCACGGGTGAGCAAAATCACGTATATATATACGTGATTTTGCATTTCTGGGTAGGGGGTGTGCCTGAGCCATGCACCCTACCTGCGCCACTGTTCGCGGCCTCGGCCGTCAATCACCAGTCCCACTATAAGTCGCTGATCGCTGCCAATGCTAGTATTAAAAGTAAAAAATTCCAGTATACATACTGCCATTTGTAGACGCTATAACTTTCATGTAAACCAATTATTATTATTTTTTTTTTTAACTGCCTCCCGCCCCCATATAAGGAAATGACGGGAGCGCGGCAGTTCTCTCGTTCTGGGAGGACGTCATATGAGTGGGAGTGGGAGTCCTCCCACTCTAACCATGCGTGCGCGCCTCCGGGACACAGCGGATCACCGATCAGCAGAAAGAGCCGATGACTTCAGCTCTGTGATCAGCTGTGTCCAATCACAGCTGATCACGTGTAAATAAGGAAATACAGGTTATCCGTATTCCTGTCCTCATGAGCTGTCACGCTGACAGCTCGTGAAGAGAGGAGAGCCAGTAACTGGCATTACTCAGAGGGGACATGTACACTGATCATCAGGGCACTGATGATCAGTGTAGCCCCATCAATGCCACCTGTCAGTGCCCATCAGTGCACATCAATGCCACATATCAGTGCCCATCTGAGCTGCCTTTCAGTGTCACCTATCAGTGCCAGTCAGTGCTGCCTATGAGTGCTTCAAATCAGTGCTGCCTATCAGTGCCAGTCAGTGCTGCCTATCAGTGCTGGTCAGTGCCACCTATCAGTGCTCGCCTATCAGTGTCATGAGTACTGCCTTCCAGTGCCCATCAGTGATGTCTGTCAATGCCCACCAGTGATGCCTGGGGATGTCAGTGACACCAAGTCAGTTCCCCCCAGTGTCAGAATGCCTGCCACAGTCCCACTATAAGTCGCTGATCACCGCCATTACTAGTAAAAATAATTTTAAAAAAAATCCCAGCGTATATACAGCCATTTGTAAACGCTATAACTTTCACGTAAACCAATTAATTTACATGTATTGGGATTTTTGTTAGCTAAGATATGTAGCAGAATATATTTTGGCCTACATTTATGATGAAATTTGATTTTTTTATTTTTTTGTACTGGACATTAATATCAAAAAGTCAAAAATCTCTTTTTTTTCTGAAAATTGTCGGTCTTTTTTTATAGCTCAAAAAATAAAAAACGCACAGGCGATCAAATGCCACTGAAGGAAAACTCAATTCGTGGGGAAAAAAAAGGACGTAAATTTAATTTGGGTGCAGCGTTGCATGACCGCGCAATTGTCAGTTAAAATAACGCAGAGCTGTAACGCAAAAAAGGCCTGGTCAGGAAGGAGAGTAATTCCTCAGGAGGGTAAGTGGTTAAATATACCATAGAAAGTATATCTGTTTCATAAGCACAAAAATATCTGATCATACCATAGATCCAGTATGCTTGTAAGTTGCTGCTCACCGTGTTCTCAGCCCTGCCCTGTTCAAATCTACAAAACGCCCCACTCCTGTGTTGTAAAGTAGGATGTGTTATGTAGTCCTAAAACTCCCCCTGCTCGGGGAGAACAATGCTGCTACATAAATACAGGACAAAAAATGAGCATTGTCACCCTATGACACGTTACTGGGCGGAATCATAGATGAAAAAAGAAGACAAATGATTCATCTCATCTAAGGCTGTGAGTTGTGAAAAAAAACACTATTGGTTCTTGGATTTTGATACACTTTAGAATCTCCAATATAGCTCTTCTAGGTGTACACACAAGATTCAGGCTCCATGCACACTAATGTTTTTTTGAAACTCCTAGAAGCTATTATCAGCATTTTTTTTCCCGTTCCTGGAAGTAGTGTTATCCTATGTGTCCATGCACAATATTTTAGGATAATAGTGTTCTTCAAGCTTCAGCATTTTGTAGAGTTTTTGGGAGCATATGTCCGGCAAAAAAAAAAAAAAACGCTAAACTCTCCTACAGTTTTTTTCCTAGCTTTTTTTTTTGTACTGTGCATGTAAAATGTACTTGTACTGTAGAAATGCTAATAAAACACTAACGCTCCTTAACACCACTACTAGCAGGCACAAAAACGCTTTTAGCCTCACCAGAGCTCCCGACCGGCGGTTCCTCCACAGCCTACTTGCAGCAGACACCCTGTATTGTGAGTCTTATTCGGCCCCCGGCACCTACTGGACAATGAGCAGAGGGTCCCTGGACCGATTCCATTGCCATGAAGCACTATTTAAGACCGCTTCAGC